GTTAGTGAGCTGGGTTGCGATGAGCTTGGGATGGGGGTTGTGATATAGGATTGGAAGGGAATGCCCAGAGGCCATAGTCAAACAGTGGTATATAGCTAGATTTGGATATCTTACATAATATATTGATCTTTTGTCTTGAACCACCATCTTGTCAGCAGTCTTGCCATCCTCTTGCACTACATGTAGTGCTTTGTATATCTGTACTTCCTACAGTATGCATAATCATGTTGGGCCAGCTGAGTATCTTGTAACTGCTCATTGCTCACTTATGGGTGTTGATCCCAGATCCACCCATTCTTGCCTCCTCCTTCCCTCTTGGCTTCAGCTATGCGAGAAGTTCAGAGTGAACACTTCACAGGGGTGCTCACCTATGATGACGAACGACAACTTGTCATTCGTCGTCTGGTTGCCATGTCACTATCAGTGATGTGGCAACGTGTTGCCCCACTTGCTTACCAGCTGGGGCTGGTGATGGCATCATTTCCCATGTTGTGGCCATTAGTGTTTGAAAGTTAGGTTAGTTAACTGGAAAATAACCGGAAAATAACCAGACCTAACCGCAACACTAACCTAACTGCGGTTAGGGTTAGTTGATTTCGAAAATGGAATAACCGGTTACAACCGGTTATAACCAGCCCTATTATACACCTTCAAAACGCACTTGAGAATGTCGAAAACACTTAAAATTTGACTAAGTTACAGTCAAATCTCTAAAATATCACTCAAATGTGTAGACTTTCAAGGATAATTGCATAAATATGTCAATTCTTCACCGATTTTAGCGTTCTTGGGCTCGTTTTAAAGCTAGAATATGCAGAAATAATATCTATCAAGATACATATGAGCATATTTGCCTTGTTATAACCGATTCTTTATTTTTCGGTCCTAACCGGTTAGTAATTGCAAATAACCGACCGTAACCGGTTAGTTGTGGTCCGGTTAGGTTATTTTAGGTTTCGGGACAAAGGCTAACTGGTCTCGGTCTCGGTTAGAGCCCCTGGGCACCCAATAACCGGACCTAACCAGACTTTCAAACACTAGTGGCCATGGTGTTGTGTTGTAGTGTGGGGGTCATGGTGGAACGACGACTGATGTTGTTTGGTCATCGTTCTCATCATCTTGTTGCCACATCACAACGTGTTGTCATGGGTGCTCATTTACTGGTGACGTAGCATGCTCGTTGTAGATGGGTGGCTGGTGTGTGTGGTGGTGGCCATTGGTGACGTGGTGATGTCGCAAGGTGGGTGGGTGTCGTCGATGATGGTGGTGATTGAGAGAGAGCAGTGGTTGTTTGTTGATGATGCCCAAATCAAGCATTGGCAAATGCCAACGCTTGATTTGGGCATCAGGAATTCTGTTCTGTCTCATTCCAGGAGCATTCCTTCTGGGTGATTCCTGGAATCATTCTGGCGGAATTTGAATTCCATCAAAATTCCGCTGGAATGGTTTGATCAATTTGGCAGGGCCCTCTGCCAAATTTGATTCCCCTGGAATTCCAGGAATGGCCTGGATTCTGCCGGATTCTGGCAGGAATCAGTGGAGGACGGTAAAGACCTCCAAACCATTCCCATTGCGTGCCTGCCTCACACGTGCAGTGACGTTGACCTCTGTTACACACCTCAACCAAATGGACAGGCTCCTACACGGCCTGGTAAACATGTCATCATCACCATAGCTCTTCCCCTTCTTCATGTATTTGCATCTGCTTTTCTCTGCTCAATGCAATCTAACTCCCACAGTATGTAGTGAGGGCAACACAAGAAGGGGAGCAGGGGGTGGTGCACTGAGAATCTGACTATGCTGACTTGACCACCCTCCCCTTTGTCAACTACTGTCTCATTGTATTGGTTGCCATCTTCAGTTGCCATATTGGCACACCACCTAGTCTTGGAAACCCATCCTCTTTGGGCACCCTTCCCAATTTGGGTCCCTTCCCTTAAGAGTCTGTGAATCTTCCAATGACATCAATGTACCTTTGTCTTCACCAATTTCTTGGTGGTTATGTAAGCTTTATGTCTGCCTTTCTGAATGTGTTGTTACCATTGTGTCCTCGTTGCCATGTCCATCCCTTGAATATCCACTCCATATACCTTCAATACAATCTAGTTATCTCACCTATCTAGT